AAAAAAAAAAAAATTCAATCTGACTGACCATTGTGAATGTTCAGTGCTGTATCTCCTGGCAAATAAATATGTTTACTATCAAGGAAACTTGTTGCCCTCACACAAGGTTCCTCCAGTACAGTACACTCATCCAGGCATCCTCAGGACTCTATTGAATTCTAATTAATCACAAAGGTAATGTTCTGTGTCCAGGTAAAGATTGTAATAGATCGTGCCACGATGGGCAAATCTTAATTATAATTACCATGTGACACACACTGAACAGAGCCTGTCGCCAGGAATTTGATTGGATGGGTTCTTTAATTAAAAATCTTTTCAACAGAATCAGCCAGGGGCTGCCAATCACTATTAGCTGAAAGACGGCCAATATGCCTGTTGATTTAAACTCATCCCATAACCCCCCCTAGTTACAGCTCTAGGGATAAGCAAACTTGAAGAGTCTTGAAAAGGTTTCAAGGGCAGTCTTTGCCTGTGAGTTTTTACGAGGCAAGACTGCTGACATTTATGAGAAATTTGCTTGGTTAATGTGCATGCAAGTATGCTATTGACAAATAAAAAATATTTGTAGATGTCATGTATTAAGTTCATACCAGCATACAATCATGCTCTTTTACCATTTTGGTCCCACATTGAATTTTTTCATGAAACATGCTTCAAAGTAATTAGTTTTTATATGCATAAGATATTTGTTGATTATTATCACATAGATTACATTTAAGCTTATGATCGCAATCTTTTTTTATTTACAGTAATCTTTTTTTCCTAATTTTTTACTCTCTGTTTCATTGTGCAATAATAGTTGATGTTAAATGAATACACGCACACAATCTTTTTTTTTATTTACAATTATCTTTTACTTTTTTAAACAATTTTTTACTCTCTGTTTCATTTTGCATTATTAGTTGCTGTTAAATGAATACATGTAAGTGTAATCAAGAATACAGTGTACCCGGTATGTATGCTACTTATTAATTATGCTCATTATACCTTTCATTATATGTAAGCATGTAATCTTAATTCACGTGTATGTGCATGAATTAGAAAAAAAAAACAAACAAACAAAAAACAAAAAAAGTAATTAGATGACCCCCTGGGATACATCTTCCCTACAGATAAGATAATATATAAGTCCAATTATAAGTTGTCAGCAAACATGACCTTACGTGACATGGAAAGAGCGCATTTTGGATACATGCCTCTGGGTCTATTAATTTATACTAATCATTGTCTGGGGATATTATTGTGACATGAAGAGTTTAATACACACACAGTACATGGGGTCAATAGACAGACTGGATGCAGGCAACTATATATATATATGGGCAGGGGGTTTAGTGGTGGTTTAGAAATAACCGCTTTTTTTGGTGAGAAAATGTCCAATCTGAATCAAAATCCACCCTATAAGTTCTCTTGATCTACCAACTGAAATAAAAGCTTAGGTTTCACAGAAAAAAAGGTTCATTTCTTTCAGTAAAAAAAGATCCCCCAGCTTTAAAATTGCTGGCTAGATGCCTAGCTGGGTTATATGTACAAGTGTAATTTGCATCAGTTCAAATTCAAAGCATGTACAAATGTACATTTTGAACTTGGACATTGTACACACCAACTGGTGGCGCCCCCAATAGGAGCTGCTGAAACTCACTTACATGTAGCTGGCCAAACAAGGTTCTAAAAGTTATGTTTGTTTATAATCAAGGTGTTCTGTTATAACACTTGATATAATCAATACTCAATATATTCAATAGGTTAGTATATGTTAATATACGTATATGTTAATTATGAAATGTCAAGAAAAAGAAACCCTTATTTCACTAGCTCAGTTTCTCTCCTCCGCTTTTGCTAGGAGGGATCTACAAGACAGTGCTGCACTCATCGGCAATTGAGTAATAGTAGTAATAGAAACTTTTTTTTTTTTAATAGTAAATAAGTAAATATCCTTACTCATTGTGATTGTTTAATAACATATTCACAAAAATTGTATTCATATTGTCATTTTCATCCACACAAGTGGATGCATATGTTACAGTGAAATACACAAACATGTAATCAATACTCTTTTTTTTTTTACTACTGACAGATTATTCTTTGGCCAACTGTCCCCTCTTCTGCATTTGCGTTAAATAAGAGTATTAATTATATTTTCAATTTAATATGACAAATCACAGAATCTGACACTTTCAGTAGCCTAGGGATTAAAGTCAAAATATTGAACACATAGATAAAACAAGTTGATACAAATGGAAGTACTGAAATGGATATAAATTACACACACATACACACCAGCTGAACATTCACCTCTGTTTAAAACATAAATATTTAAAAACAAAAAAAAGCATGTACATGTAGGAAAAAATAATAACAATCCACCTAAATGAACAATGGTAAGCATCATGAAATAATATAATTATGAAAAAAATAAATAAATAAATAAATAAAATGTCACCTGCCAGACTTGAAACTGCGCATATTTCTCACCTCTTATCCAGAGCAGCTATCCAGTCTAAGACCATGATGCTTCCTCTGCAGCTGGAACCGTTTTGGACAATCCTCTCACAACTTTGATGTGTGTGTTAATAAGACATCCCTAGTCTCTTTCCTCTTGTTGAAATTGACAGGTCTACTAATTACAACTTTATGTAACAACTCACATTAACACATTGTCAATTACAACCAACTAGGGCTCATTACACAAGTTTAAATTAAGTTGGTTTTAAGCCAAAAAATCCTAAGCCTACTAGGACTAAACAAGCTAAGTATCGTTCACAAAGAATCGAACATACTGCTTCATGAGATTTTTTTTGACCTCTCATTTTTAAAACCAAGTCCATAAATGAAAAAAGGTCCATTCTGAATCAAAATATAATCCTAGGTTTTACACTAGCTTGCAGTGAAGCACATGTACAGCACTTTTAGGTCTTGAAGTAAAAGGGTCCGACCACTTTTCACGAAAAAAAAAAACAACTCCCTCAATTTAGAAATTTACGTATACATGGCTAGAGTAAGTTAGCTAACTGTCTTAAACAGTCTAA